ATTCAAGAATATGGTTATGCAAACCTATCTGAGTAAGCTTGATTCCTTGAAAGCAAATTGCATAACCCTAATTTCTTTCACAACAGATGCAACAACTCATGTCGAACAACAAAGTAAGTATTTCATGATCATGACACTTATCAGACTACCACCAGAACTCGATTCCGTTCGTAACCAGATGTATCAGGCTTTACTGTTTCTAACTTTGACGCAGTTCGTGAATAATTGTTGTGCTTGGATACACCCCATGCTTTTAGATCGGCCCCCATCAATCTCTAGTTGCGCCGACACTAGGTGATATTGCTGCTCTTGCATTCCTTGGCAACAATCAGAATCCTATTCGAGGTGGGTCCTACAAACTCGAAGTTTTACATTTAGATGTATGTGGCCCTTTTGAAGATCATATTGTTGGTAGAAACATGTATTTTGTTTCATTTGTTGATGAGTTTAGTCGAAAGCTATGGATCTATGTGATCAAAAGAAAGGATGAAGTATTTGAAATCTTTAAGAGATTCAAGATACTTGTCAAAAACCAGAGTGAAAAGAAAATCAAAGTTCTGTGAACAGATGGAGGTGGCTAATACACATCGAAGATATTTGAAGCATTATGTTCAGAACATGTTGATCATGAGGTAATTGTTCTTTATACTCTTCAACATAATGGAATAGCATAACGAAGAAACAGAACCATATTGGATATGGAGAGATTCATGTTGAAGCAGAAGAATTTGCCATATTCCTTATGGGATGAAGTTTTTTCGACTGCTGTTTATATTCTGAACAGGTTCTCTACCAAGAAGCTGAAGAACAAGGTTCCTGAAGAAGCGTAGAGTGGAAAACGACTATCGATGAGTCATATGAAGGTGTTTGGCTCTATTTGCTACAAGCATGTTCTTGATGCGAGAAGAAGGAAACTTGATGACAAGAGTGAACCTATGATTCTGGAAAGATACCATAAGACAAGAGCATACAGACTATTTAATCTAATGAAAAATAAGATCATGATGAGTCGAGACATTGTGATTGATGAGAACTCTACATGGGATTGGAATTTTGGTGATCCAATTAACAAGCCATTGATGAGCTATGGCATCGACAAAGAAACTGATGAAGTTGAAGTCGAAGAAATTGCAGATACTCCAATTAAAGTCAAAGTCAAAGTTGTTGCTAACATACCTGACACATTATAAGTCGAAGAGGACATGATTAGCACAAGTCAGAGACCTCAAAGAACTAGTACTCGTCCAGCAAGACTTCAAGACTATGAAGTGGTTGGTGATGATGAAGTACAACAGATGGAGAACTAGTCCATTTTGCTTTACTTGCAGGTGTTGAAACAATCAACTATGGCGAAGCCTTCAAAGATAAACAATGGAAGTCTTCTATGGTCGAAGAGTTACAAGTAATTGAAAGAAACAACACATGGGAGTATGTCGAATTGCCAACATATACAAAAGCTTTCGAAGTGAAGTGGGTGTTCAAGTTAAAGCACAATGTTAATGGATCGACAACAAGACATAAGGAGAGATTGATAGCTCGAGGATTTCTTCAGCGAGCATGACTCAACTACTCTAGAGTCTTTTCACCTATCGTGTGATTAAAAATTGTTCGACTATTGGTAGTCTTAGCGTGTAATCAAGGCTGGTCGACATTTCACTTAGATGTAAAATCGAAATTTTTGAATGGACTTTTAGATGAAGATGTGTATGTCACACAACCTCTTGGGCTTGTGATTCAGGAAGAAGCAAGGAAATTATACAAGTATCACAAAGCGCTCTATGGCCTCATGCAGGCACTTAGGGCATGAAACAAGAAGATTGACTCATACTTGTTCGAATTTGGATTTATCAAATACAAATTTGAGTATGGTGCCTATGTTCAGGTTGTGGCACAAAATATAACAATCATTTGCTTATATGTTGATAACTTGCAAGTAACTAGAAATTTCTTGAAGAACTTGTCGAAGTTTAAAGATTTGATGAAGAGGGAATTTGAAATGTCAGATATGGGAAATTTGTCATACTTCCTAGGAATGGAAATTCAAATGTTGAAGCAAGGTATGATGTTACACCAATGAAAGTATGTTAAGGAGATGCTCAAGAGATTTAGGATGGATGATTCGACTCCCGCATCTTTTCCTGTTGAACTAAATTTGAAGTTGGAAAAGCATGGAGAGGAAGACAAATTTGATGCAACTTTATTCAAACAAATTGTTGGATCTCTTCTTAGTTGTATTAATGAGCAGATACATGAGTTAACCAAGGATTTCACACATAAAGACTGTAAGAAGAATCCTAAGATACTTAAAAAGATCGAAAAATTATGAAATTTTATTTCGACGAGACTCTAAAGTCGAAGAAGCTATGGTTACTTGTTATTCAAATGTTTATTTGTGTGGAGATAAAGAAGATTGAAGAAGCATTACTGGATATTTCTTTCAAGTATTTGGTGCCCCAATCTCATGGGACTAAAGAAAGAAATATGTGGTGGCATTATCATCATATGAGGTTGAATATATGGCAGGATCCTATGCTATGTGTCAAGCAATTTAGATCAGATCTGTGCAGGAAGAGATCGAGGTCGAAGTGAAGAAACCTCTGGTGCTCCATATCAATAACAAGTCATCCACAAATCTTGCGAAGAATTCAGTTTTGCATGGAAGGAGTAAGCACATCAAAGCTAGATTTCATTTTCTTAGAGAGAAGGTAAATCGACGTGAACTTAAAATGAGACATTGCTCAAGTGAAGCACAGTTGGCCAATATTTTCACCAAAGGATTGAAGATCGACATGTTCCTAAATTTGAGAAAGAAATTAGGAATAGTTCATATCAAAAATGATTAGTGTGTTTCGACAATATGGATTATAGGGGGTATGTTGAGATATTAGATATAATTCAAGTTGAGTTAAGTGGTCCAAGCCCAAAATTAATTAGGGTTTAGATTTTGTTACTTAGTTTTGTTACTTTACTTAATAGACAAGTTAGTTGTATATAAAGACATAGTTTGCAATTTAGTTTTATCATCATTCAATTCAATAATACAATCCTTATTGATTTATTATCTCTCTTTCTCTCCTCCCTAAAAGTGTCTCACACACTAACAACATTTACATTAACCGCTTCTAACATCGTAAGCAAGAATTAGATTTCATGTGGGATTCAACCTAAAAAATCCAAACCAGTTGATAAATTAATAAACCATAACCGTTAAAATTGTAGTTACATCTTAGCTAATTTTGTAATACAGGTACCCTGATATGTCTATAGAAGAAGTTGCTGGAAGTTGCCCATTTTGTTAGAAAAATAGCTTAGAAAAATTGAAGTTGCTACAGATTAGCTACGATTTTAGTTATCAATTATTTACGAATTTTTCTGGATTCATGAACAATCTTGACTTTAACAATGTGGTATGTCACGTCAACATCTTATCACGTTGACACTGCCATGTGTATGCCCAATCACAAAAAACTTTCATGTGGCAATGTCACGTCAGCTCCTGTTAACAACCGTTAGCAGAAGAGACCAAAAATATAGATAAAAAAATATTAAATGAATAATTTTTTGAATGAAATTTTTATAAGGACTAAAAGTGAAATTAACCATATTTAAAAGAACCAAAAACTTATTTAATGCTTTTAACCATTCACCATTTCTATATTCAAACAATATAAGTCATTTTAAATTTTCTCAAATCGGTATTTTTTTCTCATTAAGATATTTCATCCACACACATTTTAAAGAGTATTGAAATTGACTAAAAATGATGGTAACTACCAACTTAAACCGATAAAAAAATTGACTCATACCTCTCATGATCTTAACTCATCAAAAAAAATCTATCAAATTTTTTCCTCCTTTCTGTTTATTTCTCTCCAACTAAATACAGAGAATTTTACCAAACACTCCATAACATATATACTCGAGACCCTCACATGATTTCATATTACCAAAAATATCACTCTCATTTTTTCCGTTATTTAAAATTTTTCCAAACCCAAAAAATATGATAGTTCATATAAAAAAATTCCGACGTACATTTTTATCAGCATTTTAAAAAATTTGATATACATTTTTATCAGCATCTTAAAAAATTCGATGCAAATTAAAAGATTTATACCAATTTTTCAAAAAACAAGATGCAAATAAAAAGATTTATACCAATTTTTCAAAAAATTAAAATCCAATGTGAGTCATAAATTATAAGAAATCTTTAGTTTTATATCAGATTTTTGAAATAACTGATAAAATTTATGAATGCGAAAATTTCTACAAGCTATTTTTATAGTAATTATTTTTATGATTTTTTGACAAATCCAGCATGTTTCGTAGGGTGTTTGCATTTAAAAAAAATAATATAAAACTATAATTTGTTTTTAAAATTTATGATTTTATACTTTATAATTGATAAATCCGGTATAAAAAATGATTTTATACCAATTTTATTAAATATATTATAAAATCATAAATTTTAAAAAGAAATTATAATTTTATACCAGTTTCTAAAATCTAATATTAAATAATAGATTTTATACTTATTTTTTAAAAATTTGATATTAATTAGAAAAATATTAATTTAGGCGTATTATAGTAAAATTGGTGTGAGGAAGGTGACAGGTAAATTCCTCCTAAATACACCCTTAAAAACCTTTATGAGTCAAATGTCAATTACGTAAATTTAAAGCAAGTACACAAAATGAAACAACGCAGAATAAAATGGCGATAAAGTTTTTGAAGGTCAAAGCATATCATCATTCAAATAGTCTCATATGTCGTCAACAATGATCTCACTCGCTAACAATATCCCTTGAAACTTTCTACGTTAAACATTATACATTTATTAGTTTTAACATCACTATCAAAACATTTCTCAATCTAACAATCTACTAAATTTGGAAAGTGATTTTCAATTCCATTTCTTCTACAGTTTGCTAACATGGATTTACAATGTGAGTGAAGGATTTGTGTTTCACACCAAGTTTAATTCCTTATGATCCAACTTTCTAAACTGCAGGTGCTTCATCATCTAACATCTCCACTACTGGAGCAAACTACAAAAATCAACATTCATTAATATAACACCTTTTAATTCTTATTTTGTTTAATAAAAGTAAATAAATTTATGCATGAAATGCTTCAATGATAAATGATTAGCGACAGAGGGAGAAACTTGTACACACTAACCTCATCATTCTCATCAAAATACAAACCATCAACAGCACTGCTCTGCTGAAACTCCCATCCTAGATTGCTCTCTAATAGATCCTTAAATTTCCTTGTCTGCAAAGAAATGAAGATTACAATTCAGCACTTCATTTGTACAATTGGTCCATTCATTGCAGCTAGAAGCAAGTGCTGCATGTCTGCAACGAATTTAAAAACATAGAAAACAAAGAGAAGTATAGACAATGGCTATACCTACTAAGAAGGTAAAACAATATAGTAGCCATTTTACTATATCGCATGATAGTTTGTGCGTGTTTTTGTGCGTTTAGGGTGCAATTAGGATGACAATATGATTGTCTGGTCATGGATACCCTGAACACGACACCAACGCCGACACGACAACCCCAGTAATAACTTGAAAATTGAATAAATTGAAGGTAATCACCACAAGTGTCGGTGTCTGACACAAACACAAACACCATTTTTCAAAGGTGTCGGTGCTACATAGATCATCGCTAAGGGAAAGTACATTCTTAATTGCAAAATAGAACATTTATAAACATTATAGCAATATAAAGACCTAGAACCAAAGCTCATACCCATTTTAATAGATCTCCATCAACAACTGACCCATCTAGCATCAATGAAAAGAAATCCTGCAACTCCAAAACAACAAGCATTAGTTCCAACACAAAACTTTGAGCAACTAGTCAAACTGCTCAAAATATGAACTGTCCTTTTCATTATATTGAAATCCATAACTGATCGAGTTAGGTACCAATATATTTAATTTAAATGAGAAAGCTAGGTAATAGATCAAAATTATGCATTTGAATGTGAATTCATAAATACCTTACAAAGATGGTGCAAAAAGCTATCGGTAGAAAGCCAAGAATCATCCAACAATGGTGGTCCCGTATCATCTTTGCGATCTTTCTGTAGTCCGTATTTTAGTTGATAATAGATGACTTTTATGAACTACAAGAATCCATAATATTTAGAATCAGTTACACAAAAAGAACAGCAAACAAGAGGGTTGTCGTTACTCAAAGAAAAAGCCTATCAAATTCATTCATATAAACCTTAACTGAACTTACATCACAAATTCATATTTTCTTCCTCTAAAAAAAATGAGAAAAGGGGGAATTATTGTTAATTAGAGTGGCACTACGACCATTTTACAACCGTCCCCGAGAGGATTTGAACTCTAGCCTTTGAAGTTACAAGGCCAAACTCTTAACACCGACACCTCATGCACCACATTACAAATAGTTATGGTAAAAAGTATTAAATTATGACAAGCAACTTTATTACCCTTGTCAAGAAATATAATTGGGTCTAACTTAACCCTACAAAACCGGTGGGTAGAGTGAGGATTGCCCCCACTTATAAACACATGTTTAGGTCATATATTATCCGATGCGGGACTCCTAACAACCCTAAAAAAGTATTCCCTCCGTCCCAAATTATAAGTTTTGGACATTTCACACGAATTAACAAACTTAATTATTACTCTATGGAAAAGACAAATTATATATGACTTTACAGTAATACCCTCATAATTACACATGAGAAAGAAATTAAAATAATTGAAAGAATAAATAATAATAAATACTTGAGGGTATATTGAAAAAAATGTCATTAATATTGCATTGGAAATGTAAGGTGACTTAAAATTTGGAACAAATTTTTTTGACAAAATGACTTATAATTTGGGACAGAGGTAGTAAAGCTTAAAATCCTGATTTCCCATCATTCAAATGAGTTTGATGACTCCCAAAACACACTCTTAAGTCATATTGTTCTGGACTGGGCCGGAACCTGCCCCTCAGAAGGGCGGGTCCAACCCAATACTATGCTGATGAGACCCAACAAGGCCCAATCCTCTCTGTCGAGCACAAGCCCCAACAAGGCACACTAGTCAAGCTGAGTATTCTCTGACACGGGGGGAGCTCACGCGCTTTTTCCACGGACTCTACGTCTCCCCCACGCGGGGACACGTTATCTGGCAACTACCCACTTCCGAAAGAGTTGGTCAGCCCACCTTCCGAAGATCAGAGCAATTGATCCAGGGCGAAGACCACGTGCTAGTATTCACTACGCCACGTAAGCCCTAGCAGTTACTTGTGTTAGGCTTGGCAATCCGGCCGACTGCAATGTAGCTGTTGGCCCTGCGCTGAGGGAACATTATAAATACCCTCTTTCACTAAAGGGTCAGGTATTCTAGACACTACACATTTTCTCTGTACTTGCTCTCTCTCTAGTTCCGTTACTCACTTAAGCATCGGAGCATCTTGCAGATACACCCCCTTTCTCCTCTACAACACTCGTGAAGGCAGTAACTCACGACGCGTGACAGGCTACTGACTCATTTCTGATCAGGTACGATCAGTGGCGCCGTCAGTGGGAATTTTTTGTTTCTCCGTTCTTTCTCCTGTCCAAGCATAGAAGCTCAAAAACAAAAGCAACCTTCAACTTCCATTCTAATCATGGTCAGCCCACGCGACGAAAATGCTCCTGAAACCGCCTTCATCCCCTTCACCAACGGAGACGGTCACGACCCAAACGCGACCGTTCGCAACGAAGAAGGCGACTACAGGGACGGGTGCACCGCCTCTCCTTCTTCGGAAGACGCGGCCTTCAACGCCGTCCAGCGCTTCGACAGCCCCGTTGTCTACCAGCCATCCCGGTGCCAGCAGGCGCCGACCCTACCATGGTGGCCCTGTTTGCGGCAATCAACCAGACTAACCTAATGATCTTCGAGCAGAACAAGCGAATAGGGATGCTCAAGAGGGAACGACCATCACGCTCTCCCCCACGGAGACATCGTCGCCCAGTTTCCAACAACCCCTCTCCTCCCCCGCAGGGGACACAGCCAGTTGACGACTCTCGGAGCCCCTCTCCTCGACCGACTGGGCGTCGCCCTCGTTTGTAGCGACCACAGCCGTTGGCTTCCTAGAAGCGGGGCAGGTGGCCTCTCCAGAAGGAACGACGCTCCCCAATTCAGACGAAGAACAAAGCCCAAGGGGGTGCCTTCAAACCACAAGCCCGACCGAAGAGTCCTCCCCGACGAAACAGAAACAACCAGGGACCAGTCTCCCCCTCACTGTCGTCCGTTAGGAGTGACGAAGATACCCAGCACTCGCCACTATGTAGGGCCATCAGGGAGACCCCACTACCCGTCAGGATGGAGTCCATCCTTGGCAACATACAATGGCACGACCGACCCGGATGACCACATCGAAAGCATCGAAACGTTCAGGGAGCCATCAAGTGCAGGTTGTTCCCCACTACCCTGAGGAAGGGCGCTATGGCATGGTACAAACACCTCGCGCCCGAATCCATCACCTCTTGGGGGGAACTGAAGAGACAATTCTCCAGGCACTTCACGGCCTCCCGGCGCCATCCAAAGACAGAGGCAGCCCTGGAAGCCATTATCCAGGAGAAGAACGAACCTCTCTGAGACTACGTAGAGAGGTTCAACTGAGAGGCCGTCCAAGTGTCCATCACGGACGACATGAAGAAATTCCTGATCCAGAGAGGTATAAGACCTCACTCCGACTTCGCCAAAGCCGTTGCGATTGAACGTCCCCGCACCTTGCATGCCCTTTTCCATAGAGGGGAAACCCCTAGGGACAGGGGCTCTCCCGCCTCGACAGACGAGAGCGGACCCCCGAGACTTCCAGCACTTGTCCCCAGGAGGTTCATCCAAAACTATACTACGTCCCCGGAGAATTCGACGGTTCTGGGAGGACGATATGGCGGCGTACGACGGGCATCTCGATGCTGAAATTTGAGAAGCGCGACGAGAAGAAGAGGAAGCGTCTTGAAAGGTAAAGCGAAAAGTGAGAAATAAAGCAGACTTGGACCTATTTATAAGCCTAGCACGGGACTCGAGGCGCCCTTACCCCTAGCTGTCCTAGCTAAGCAATGATTGTCTGACACATGACAGCACCAGAAGCTTCGCATCCATTCGTCTCCCTTTCGGGCTCGGAGATCAGGCACATCCTACGTGTTGTCCACCTCCCCGACATGCTATCCCGTCGAGCATCCTCCGCTCCCAACCTGGTACACGACTCGCAATTCTATGCGTTGGGCACGACATTTCGACCTGCCCTTAAGTCATTACTCCTCCTCCTCCACCTAGGAGCAACGACTTGGGGGCTCCTGTTCTAGACTGGGTCGGGACCTGCCCCTCAGACGGAAAGGCCCAACCCAATGCTATGCTGATGAGGCCCAATCCTCTCTGTCGAGCACAAACCCCAACAAGGCACACTAGTCGGGCAGAGCATTCTCTGACACGGGAGAGCTCACGCGTTTTCCCCACGGGGACACGTCATCAGGCAACTACCCACTTCCGAAGAATTGGTCAGCCCACCTTTCGATGATCACAGGGCAGTGGATCCAGGGCGAAGACCACGTGCTGGTCTTCATTACGCCACGTAAGCCCTAGCAGTTACTTGTGTTGGGTTTGACAATTCGGCTCACTGCTATATAACCGTTGGTCAGGTATTTATAATGTGCCCCCAGCGCAAGGCCAACAGTTACATTGCAGTGGGTCGGATTGCCAAGCCCAACACAAGTAACTGTTAGGGCTTAGTGAAGACCAGCACGTGGTCTTCGCCCTAGATCAACTGCCCCGTGATCTTCGGAAGGTGGGCTGACCAACTCTTTGGAAGTGGGTAGTTGCCTGATGACGTGGCCCCGCGTGGGGGGCACGTGGAGTCCGGGGGAAAAGCGCGCGAGCACTCCCCGTGTCAGAGAATGCTCGGCCCGACTAGTGTGCCTTGTTGGGGCTTGTGCTCGACAGGGAGTGTTAGACGACGGCATTGATCAAGTCCACCGGAGAAACCGTCGGAAAATAGGAAGAACGAGGGTGGGGCAACAGAGACTTACTTGGTACGACGGTTCTATTTATAAGTCTAGCACGAGACTCGAGGCGCCCCTAGGCAGTCAATCGCCCCTACCCCTAGCCGCCCTAGCTAAGCAATGATTGCCTGACACATGGTAGCACCAGAAGCTTCGCATCCATTCGTCTCCCTTTCGGGCTCGAAGAGCAGGCACATCCTTCGCGCTATCCACCTCCCCGACATGCTGTCCCGTCGAGCATCCTCCGCTCCCGACCTGGTACACGACTCCCAATTCTATGCGTGGGACAAATACCTTCTCCCAAAGAGGTCCTCGACATTTCGACCTGCCCTTAAGTCATTACTCCTCCACCTAGGAGCAACGACTTGGGGGCTCCTGTTCTGGACTGGGCCGATACCTGCCCCTCAGACGGGCAGGCCCAACCCAGTACTATGCTGATGAGGCCCAACAAAGCCCAATTTAGACAATCACAAATGCGCACAGTATGAGTCAATCGGAGGGTCGACGCGAGCTCTCCTGAGAGCAATACATGAAAAAATGACTTCTGTATGAGTCAACCTAAGCAGGCTATGAGTCGACTCAAAGACTCGGAGCATGCAAAAATGCATTTTTTTCATATATTTAACTACTTTTAAGAGATCCTAATATATCTCTAACTTAACCAACATGATCAAACCTATATGGAACACATATTGTACTTTTTCTATATTTACCTAAATATGTTTTGACCAATGTTTGACGCAAGAGAAATAAGATATGCATATGCGACTTGATGATACCGTCCAAAGTACATTTTTCTACCTATGTATGTTTTGACATCATTAAAATAAGTATAGTTAAGTACGAGGAACTTTGCCCTCACATACGACGGCACCGATCTAGAATGGAGGTTGAATAAATCACTTATTAAAAACAGAGTCAGCGCTTATCAATATTTGGTTTTAAAAAGTTTTAAGCGGAAGCGGCCAAGAAACTATATTCGTCTAAACGAACCTTTACCGAAAAGATCAGATATACGCAAAGCCTATGGAATACGATAAAGACGAGATTTAGAATCACTAATTTAAACACACATCAACTAGATTTTGTTCACTTTAAGGTTGAACAGTATCCAATGCGTGTGACATATAACCCAATTGAAAAGACAGCATAAGTGTTTGTGTTTACGCAATTAGTCGAACACTTGGTGTGCAAGGCACCTCAAATGAATTTCAATATGTGAATGAAGTGTTATAGTATTCAATTACAATCAAAGATTGTAATAAGGTTTCTAAAATTGGTTCAGCACTACACTCACCAGAATTTTAATCAACTAAGTTGTTTGCACACAAACTCAAAATTCAGCAATGGAAAAAATAAAGAGAGAACACCAATTTGTTGAGGCAGTTCTCCGTCGTCCTCGCTCGGGGTACGTCTGCCCTCAATTCTAAAAATAGAATTGAGACTTGTATATATATATATATATATATATATATATATATATATATATATATATATATATATATATATATATATATATATATATATATATATATATATATATATATATATATATATATATATATATATATATATATAACCTGTTTGCAAATGTTTACAAGAGAAGCAATAGAATTCAAACAATCAAACCCAATTGTTGATGCAGAGCCTATGTCTTCTCTTCCCTTAATTCAAGTTTGAATCAAGTCCTTCGAACGTGATGAGTAAACCTCCGATTACGGCACTCCCTTTGAACAACCCTTTGGTCTACAAATCATGCCTGCCTGATTTCAAACACCAACGATTCGAACCAAAAACTTCATACCACAATCCTCCGGTTAACGCTACTAAGCTGACAAAACCTCCCATTCTTCAATTACCTTCGCTCGGCTGAATCTGTGAAGGACCAATTTGTGCAAAAACCCCCCAAAATTCAAGATTCTTGGAGGACAAAACCCTCACGATTGTATTCAAGAAAAACCCATTGAATTCTCAATCCAAACCTGATTACAATAATCCTACGTTTGGACGTTATCACCTCGATGATGCAGAATACACAACAAAAATGATTATGTGTAGTTGAGAAAATGCAAGAAAGAGGATGAAGATGATGAGAACCAAATCAGTGTATATTTTCACTTTTCTTGTTGGTTTGTTTGTGTAGAATGAACTAACTCAATATATATGCAAATGTGAAAACAATTAACCAACTTAACAAACACGGCCCGTAACTCACACGGCCGTGGACTCGCTTTTCAACCTCGAGGTCCAGGAAAAAGACGGGCAGCCCGAGGAAGTCTTAGTGTCGAAGATTCCGCTGATTTGGATGGAGGAACATTCCGACAAGGGCACGGACAGCTACATAGTGCGAGCAGGCTCGTTGGATGCCGACGACCAGGTGGCCTACCAGAAGCCGATCGCATTTGTGGCTAGTTTCACCCCTGCAAAGTGCGTGACGCCGGACGGAAATTTTATCCTCGACTCGAACGAGGAGATTCTTAGGGAGTCGCGATTGACCAATACGATTGACACACTTTTAAGTCATACAATCAAAATATTTATAGGGTACTTGTATATTAGAATACTTTGGTTGTTTGAAAGGAAATTGATGAATAATTTGGCCTTCTACTTAAGATTGTGGCTTATTCTCTTAAATCTGGATTCTGCTTCTTTTTTTTTTCCGAACTACATTCACAATTATTACAATGAAGGATGAATTGAAAGCAAACCATGTACTAATGCCACTGTTAGGAACTAAAAGAAAGAAACAGTAAAAACATTGTTAAAGTTTACCTTGGTAAATAGCCGAGTTCGTGTGTGGAAAGGCTGCAAAAGAATACATAAAGTCATGCAAACATAATAACAAAATAAGTATCTATGCAATAGGACACCTTCAAAGCTGATTTGAACCTATGTAATCAAATAGCATTTGTCTTACCATAATCAATAAGTTCCTTGTATCCATATGCAATCATAACCTAAGCCCTACCAACATAAAATGTCCTAAGAAGTAAAAATTGTTCATATGAAAATATATATTGCAAAACTCTACATAAAAGGAAAGAAAATGATGCATCTTATCATGTACAAATCTACCGACCGTCTCAAAACACATGTTAAAAATATGAGGACTGCTCAAGTGATGCAAAGGCAAATGGAAGACAATCCACGGATTCGGGCTAAAAGAACTTAGAAAACTGACTCACCCAAGTTGAAAGACAAAACCAGAGTCTAACAAATTACAGATGAAAACGCAAGTAATCATTAATGTAAGCAAATGTCATGAAACCACAAGTAATGCATGCGTGCATTATTCAGACCAGATATACTTACTGCTTCCGTGCAACCAAACAGAAGGCTAACCAAAGATTTCCACTGAAGAAATGCTTCTAGTGACTGACCCATCTACACCATTGCAAAATATCAGAATGGATTTAACAAGACTAACAAATATAGAAAGAAACCATGTTTTCTCTACCATACCAAAAAGGCAATAAATGCAAACTGCAGTTCTCCAAGGAGCAAGTCTTCAGAACCTCCATAATCTGATGCCAGTAGAGTTTCAAGCAAATGTGTCTGAGAAGGCAAACATAAAACATGTGCACAAATCAGCAAAAAGCAACAGGCTAAACAACCAATTATAGCATAAGCACTTATCACATAAGTGCTTATATATGAGTTATTTCTGTAACAAAAGATAAAATAAAATCAAGTAATTTCATATAAACTATAAGGTGTTTTAATAAGCTATCCTGAAGAGCTTATGAAAATAATCTGAAACCAGCTTAGGGACATGTCATAAGCTGTTTCCATAAGCTCTCTCAAGCAGCCTGAAAAGTGATTTATGTCAGTCCATAAGCTCTAATTAGTCAATCTAAACAGACCCTAAAATTATAAGGTAAGATTACTGATTTTAACACTCTTTTCTCGGTGTGTATGTGTATGCCTACCTTGTCAAGATTCAGAGAAGTAAGTTCCTGCCCACTAATCCCCTTGCATTTTACAACACGTGGGATCGAAGTATAATAACATCCTTTTCTCTGGAACTTGCCAACAGATGCTTCGGAATTACCAACATTCAGCTTCTTGTCTAGTGCTTCCTCCATTGGAGTTTTAAGAGTGTTTCTGAACACATCATTTTCACATTCAACACTTATTTCTCCTCCGATGGGTTCTGTTTTTAAATTAACAAGAATACAATTATACAACGTGAAGAAACAAATTGATACAAAGAACACCTCACTCAAGTAAATAACATACCGAGCCGTTCGATGATGCTCTTTGTAATGAAATTAGATAATCGCTTCCAATCTTCACAATGGCTAAGCTTGTAAGGGCCAAGTTGTCGGTCGAATTCCATATTTCTAACAGCATGACTATATCTTCCATCCTGAAGGAAAAGCAGAGAGAATAAAATAAATGTATAGCATAAATTGAAGAATGAAGACTATAGAGCATGAAATTCAACGCATAGACTCTAAAATATGAACAATAAGGTAAAACTTCTTATTGAGTTCTAGATGAATCATGAATTTTCTAATGACTGGCGCATAGAGTGATAGACAAATTATTATAAAAGAAATAACTCAAAATAGAGAAGTGGATGGAAAAAGAAAGAAGTTCCAAGTAAAAACATGAAGGGTAATACAAATGTCAGTATCCTCAACATTGAAATGATACTTAACATATTTTGTTTCAACAACATCGAACACTATAACAAAAAGAAACAAAATCAATAGTTAAATTAATTTGCATAACAATAAGAACATTTAGACTAAGGGAGAGAAAAAATTGACTGGTTGATTTGTTAAGGCAGCTCAGAACATTGTTAACATTGCCATATTGAACTCAAATGCAAATTAGCATCGATTCGATGGAATATCAAGCACATCCCTACATTTTATAAAGGGAAAATCAACTAAAATGACAGATTTCCAAAATACTATCTTACAAGACCTAACTTGACTAACTGAATGCAAATTATATCAATCATTATTAACCCCCAGGGGTTGGCCTTGAGAGTGTGCTCCTCTCAAGGTCTCGGGTTCGAATTCCGCTGGGTGCAAACAATTCTTGGGTTGGGCCAAGTCCATACAAATCTTTGCTCTGGCTTTAAACAGGCCCCCACAAGTGGATGGCGGGATTGGTCCCCTTGGATTAGTCGGTCGCAAGGCCGGATACCAAGATTTCAAAAAAAAAAGAAAATCAATCATGATAGATGATGGTTTGGTTTCACATCTAAGACATGTATTATATATGTTTTAGAAAGTATAAACAAATGGGTACCTCTTCCTCGGATACTTTGACTAGCCTTTCCTCTTGTTGGTCCCATTTACGAATAATTACCTGCACGGCCAAGAGACCAAAATACTCTTTAGTATACAAATTGCCTTATTGTTTTAAATGCAAATACATTCTTAGAAGATGTTCAGACCACAAACAGGTTCAAACAACTGAGTATTGGTTAGTATTCACCAATCAAGTTCATATATCATCTCATCCCGTCATTAAGTTGATTAAAATATAGCACTGCTATAATGGTATAGAGGAACTTGCCGCTGCAAGAATTCCAACATATCAGCTTTGATTTCAAATGAACGGTCTTGTGCTTATTATGTTCAATGTTCACAATTAGCATTAGTTGTGGTATCTAAGGAAGATATTCATGTCCATTAGTTTTTTTTCAAGTTGAACTTCATTGTCAATTTGTCAGGATTGTTGGTGCATCATGTAAAAGTAATGACAAATTAAAAGCTAGTCATGTTTAGGAACTTCAAATGCAAAAAGGGAGACAAGTGGGAGGGCACAACGCCCGAGTCAAGTTTTGGTCAGGGCATAAAGGGGCTTAGTTATAAGCTTCTACCTTTATTAACAAGAACTTTGCATTCTTACTGATCTGCTAATGAAAATTAGTTCTAAATTGATATTCAAAAACTAAATCTTTTCTTAAGTCTTTCACTTCTTGTGCATATAACAAACATTTCTGTGAGGTTAAACAGCAACAGAGTCGCATGAATTGATTTACCTGAGAATATATCGAGACACAATTGTGAAAAATAAAAACAAGCAAAAACTGTAATAAACAAATTTTAACACAAACCGTAAAACATAAAGGTTTGAGGCTTAAATATAAACAGGGAGATATTCAGTAACTAATTTTCAGACCTCTGAAGAACCAACATCAATAAAGAATCCAATAGTCGGTGAAAACTCCTTTCCATCTCTGCAGGAAGCCAAAAAGAAAATGAAAACAAACAACAATGCACCAAACAATGAAAAATATTCATTTGAAATAAACATCACTCATTCTAGCAACTGATATAGACAACAGTTTGATCCAAAGCTTTTTCATAAAAACCATACACTGCCACAGCCTATAAGATTAACACTTAGAAGATAAATGCTAAAAAAGAAAGAAAATACTACTCCATCCATCACTAGACACAAAAACCACCGCTTTTATATGTTTTTCTATCTTTCGTTAACTATATGCTCTTGTATATACTATATATTGCATAACTATCTAGCACACTCTTTCAAACACATCCATTATTCAGTGAAATTTGCAGAGATCCCACCATTTTATGAATGTGTCGGGGCAAAAGGCAAATGAGAGATATGTGATTTAGAGGAAGACATTTCAGTTTCTCCGAATACTAGGAAGACTAATAGGAAGAGTATCGCTTTCATTTTCCAGGGTTTTTAATAAAGGTCCACAGCCGCGATCTGGGCAGTGACAATAGCTTTTGCTGTTACCAAAACCGCAACACAGCCATGGTTTATTCTGTATCGGTCACATATGACCATGAATCTCAGTAATATCAAGCATCTCAGTAATATCAAGCATCGCGACCGCAGCTATTGCTACGACATCCATTCTAAAGATAAATTAATAACTCATGATTAAGCATAATGATCAAACCTGGTGGATGAACTATAGTAGACAAAATGAGTGCCTGGAGGGATCATCTTAATACCCTTAAAAGCAGGTCCAACAGAGAACATCTATAGAACAAAAACAGTAAGATTATCAGTGTAAAGCGAAATTGAAACTTGAAATCATCAAAAAAGGTTGATGTTTTGACAATTACACACCACAAACTTCAAACTTTCAATCAATTTTCAGATTATAACAATTTTTTGAAGGGAAGAATCGATACAACAACTTGGTAAAGACGACAATGGCAAAAGGGAACGCGCATAACCTCATAATATTGTGAACAGGAAAAAAGAGGAAATTGTTTACCTGAGTATCGATTGCAACAAGGGTGTACTGAGGAACGTCGAGGAAGAGAAGAGTGGCGCCATTTTTGACAAGCTCTAAGGCTGTTTGAGAATCCATAGAAGAAATTCGAAGATGAAGTAGAAAAGTGCTTCAGAATGGTTGAAAAACTAGTACCTTCTTCTAGTCGGTTTTTTTTTGGGGTCATGCGACTCTCTTCTATTCAATGCAAATTAACAGAGAATTTACTTTTAGAAATTGAACATGACACTCTCCTAAGCAAATATGAAATGACAAAAAAAGAAAATCCTTTTAGAAAAAATTATTAAAAAAAAAAAGAAAATCCTTTTAGAAAAAATTATTAAAAAAAAAAAGAAAATCCTTTTAGAAAAAATTATTAAAAAAAGAAAATCAAATATTTTGGACTTTTCAAAAATCTTTGTAACATTTTGGATTTGAATGGAATTGTCTAAATTCTATTTTATAAGTGTTATGGATTGGATTTGGGGTTGACCCACTGTCGGGTACAATTCAGTCCAGCTCTGCATCAAAGAATATTCAACACAGAGGTGTAATTCGTGGTAACCAGTGGAGAGCATGTCCCACACGTGCTCCTCACTCGAGGACACGTGGCCAGCTGATCTCGTGTACCTCGCGAAAACGTTTTGCCCTTCGTAACAGACGCGTCTTCCAATTCATAGAGAACGTGGGGCAGTTAACACAAGATGATGAGTACGAGTTGTTCATCCCTACTGCTACGTAGGAATCCTATAAATTATCTATTATGGGTTGAATCACCCAGCCCATAATGGAGACCATTAACTCAACGTTGGGGGCTTTATGAATACACTCTTCTAATAGAGGGTCAGGTATTCTATTCTATTCCATTTCTCACTTCTGTACTTATCTTTCTTCGCTATGTACTTTAGCATCGGAGTGTCCTGCAAATACACCCCCCACCGTTTTCCTCACCTGAAGTTGAAGACTACGACGCATTGTTGGCTTTTGAAGATTCTTTTGATCCCAGTAAGATCAATAAATTTATGTTGGATTTTATTCAAAATCATGAAAAATCAGTTATAATTATATTTATATTGGATTTATATACGATCTGGTGTCAATTATTTATCGTTGTATTTTTTTTTTAAATTGATATAAATGCAAATGGTTATATCGAATTTGTTAAAATATTTGATGAAAATATGTAGAGGGTGTTTGAATGAGATAATTAAGAATTTTAAAGAAATTCAAAATGTTAAGCAATTCAAATTATTCAATTAAAATCCATTCAATTTTAAATTTTTTTTGTTTGGATGGAGTATTAAAATGATTCTTTGTTAAATTTTTAGGGTCATTTTCATAAAATTTAAAACTCTTGAGTCAAATTTAAAATGTGGGGACCAATTTGCAATGTTTAAAAATTTTAAGGGACCAATTTGTAAAATTTGAAAATTATTAGAGACTTATTTGTAATATTTAAAAATTTAGGGGTGAATTTGAAATTTTCATAAAACATGAGGACCATCTTGCAAATTTTGAAAATTTAATAATAAACAATTTAACATTTGCATTATAAAGAGTGAATGGGTAATTTCAAATTCTTTACTTTTTGGTGTCATTTGAAATTTCTTAAATTTAACTTGAATAAAATATTTCATAAATTTACATCATTTTAACAATTCTCTATATTTTTTTATCCAAACAATAAATTTTGGTCAAGTCATCTTAAATTCTCTCAAAAAATTATTTTTCCTCATTAAAATACTTTATCCAAACACACTCTAAGATATATAGTATAAATGTGTATGAGTATACCTGATTTGTTAAAATATATGTGGAAATGCATACGACATCATATATTTGTGAAAATATGGTAGTTTTATGGGTGACACCGGATTTTTTTAAAAATTCGGTAAGTAAAGTTTTTTTTAAATTATATGATTTATTTTGTTTTTAGTGAGCCAAAGAAGATTACATGGTCTCATCATACCTAAACTGAGCAAGAAACCTATTAGAGATGTTGTAAAGATCTCTGATGGAAATGGTATAGATGATGTTGATGCTCATTTGCGCATTAGGACGGGTAGAGTAACTCTCACTAGTTCTTATCACATGAGGATCTAGACCAGACACTCTCAGAGGAGGTAAAGTTGAACGCATTAGAGACGACGATGAGGAGGCACGTGATGTTGTGCTTAAACATGTTGAGCCAAAGGCACATGCGAAGGTGCTTGATTAGGCTGATACAAGTGACATTCATGATGGTCTGACATATATTTTAACATATTTGGTATGTAGATGTGTCTGCTCTTGCCACCTTTTAATCTTTTTGGCTCCCTTTTTAGGATTGAACTTCACGGGTGACAGGTATAAAAGTTGTATATGGATGTGTAAGTTCATGTACCGTGTTTGGTTAACATAATCAACAAACGAAGAGATATCATATCAAATGAAGGGATATCGACACATACTAGCTCAAAATGTTGCACGTGTTATTCATACTTAAACATTATATTTGAATGTGTGATCTTATTCCATAATTCTATCACATAATCTTGTTTATTACCCTTGACAAACTCCTTGAACTGTGCACCAACATTTTTTGCAACAAGGAAAACATGTAAAAGGTGGACTAAAGGTGGGAAAACAACTTCATGACATTCATCATGGCAAGTTTTCGATTACTCACCGCGATGTTAGGAAATAACTTCTCAGATGTGAACAACTCCTTCAACTTCTCTGGTGGTTTTTTGCAAGAAGCTGAATTGTGTTGATGGTGCTTCTAATAAGTTCTTGACCATAGAGACCATTGTGAAATCTTTCAGTTATCATGGTACTTTGGTAGAAAATTTGTGTATTGCCCAAAAGACGGTCGAGAGGGATGAGGTTTTAACTTCTATTCCGGCTTCTTCCAAGATATGGGATAGGGATCTTGCCCAAAAAAAGAATTGAAGAATTGGAAAATTCTTTGAGAGAATCTCGAGAAAGTCATAAAAATGCCGAAGATGCGATGCGCCAAGAGAACTTTGGCCTTTCTGAGGAGCTGGCTAGATTGTTACAAGAATGTTTCTTTGTCGTCGAAGGTGTTTTTGAGAGCTCTTTGAAGAAAGAAGAGTATTTTTACTCTTGACATTCGTGTCTATTGGGATATAGTTCGTCTCAACCAAGCCGTCGAGGATGGGAAAGTGGTTTATTTGGTGGACTAGATCTCTCCTTTTTATTCTAGATGTTTGTGGCATTGGCCTTTTTGTCCTGCAATGTATATGTACACTTTATTTTGTTTATTTATTCATATTTTACCTGATTTGTGGCGTTACTTTTGGTCGCGGGTTCATCTTTATGGGACTCAGATCTTCCTATGGGTTTTGCCCGAAGGTTATTAGACGTCTCTAGGGACCATACCCAGTCAAGGGTTGGTACTGTAACACGCCGAAAATTTTAATTAAATTTTATTCCTTAAAATTTATTTTTTTAATGTTATTATTATTTAAATTTTAGTAAATATAATAATAATTGAAATAAGAAAATTGGAATTAATAAGATTAATGGCAGAATTAATATAATCAAGAGTTAAGGGGAATTTATAGAATCAAAAGTTGAAAATTTAAGGAGTTACATGCAATTAAGAAAAAAATACATTAGAATTAGTTATTATAAAAATGGGAGAATGAAAAAAAAGGAGAAAAGAAAAACATAGAATCACATTTCAGTGAGAGAGAAAAGGAAAAGAGGTAACGCTAGGAGAAAAGAGTGCAAGGAGGACGATCTCCCACCACCAAGAACTTAAGAAGTTTCAGCATAACCATGGTAAGGGGAGATATTGTTCTTTAATTGATATTTTGCCAACGAGATAATGGAGTTTCCTTTAATCCATGTTAGGTTAAATGAATTCTTATGATAATTTTATGTGATGTTCTGATTTTATCTTTGTATTATGATTGATGTTGTGAATTCATGAAAATTTCTAACATGTTGATGTTATGCTAAGATTTTGTGGATGAGTTTATTCAATATTGAGGCGAGATCGATGAGATAATGTTCTTGCTAGTCGATGTATTCATGGTGTTGATGGTTGATGAGGATGGTATTTAGAGTAATGGATGTCGAATCAATCATATAAGATAATTAATTATGGTAATATGTGGTTAAAACTGAATTAGGATGGGTCTATATTGAAGAAATCGAGTTTAGGAGTGAAAATCATGTGAAAAGTCGAAAAATCACATTTTAAAGTCACACGGGACACGACCCGTGTCACCAGACACAACCTGGCCATGTTACTTTCAGGTTTTGTATGTGAGCTTTGACATGGCCCGTGTCAGCTGACACGGTCGGGTTGTGCGTCGTCAGGTTTCAATATTGGTCGCCTTGTTTTGCGCATAACTTGAGCTTTGTAAGATCGCTTTAGGTGCAGTCAATTATGTTGGAAAACTAATGTGATAATTTTTTTGTTTAAATAAGGAAATGGGGTTTGGGAATTCTACATCAATAGTAATTCTCTAGTTCTTATACTATGAGTATAGTCAAGCTCAACCAACATTGATTGTCTTGTTTCGTGCATAACTTGAGTTTCGTATGTCCGTTTGAGGTGTGGTCAGTTGCATTGGAAAGCTAAGGTGATAAAATTTCTTGTGGTGATATTCAACAGTATGTTTTTATTATTATGAATATGGTAAATTATTCTTAAGGTATATTATGAATAGTGAGGTGGAAAATGATTAATTGTGTAAGTTTACAATTTGATGATTAAATTGTGTAACCTAAATTGTGAATTTTGTAAAACAAGAGTTACTACCTGGATAAATAGTTGTGTGGATCAAGTTATCAATATAAGGACTTAGTCTAAAGTCTTTATAAATGTATAAGATTTAAGTTACTAAAGATAGTCCATAAGCTCGGTGTTGATGCGATATAATAGTGTATTATGAGTGACAATAATAACACCCTGAGGTTCGATGAGAACCGACATTGAATTTTGCTTAGGTTCGTAAGAACCGATGTTAGCCTTAATTTTTAGTGTTAATGAAGTTGTTCCTTAGGGGACAAATTTCGAATACGATACTCCAGCAACGGGTGCGATAAGATACACCAGAAACAATACACTAAGTAGTATTAGTAAA